CTGTGCGTCATGTTCGTTCAGGACGTTGGCCATCATGTTTCTCCATAACTCCCTGTCATGTGTAGCTCTCAGTAAATTTTGTCTTTTGGCACTTTCTCCTTACCTGCTTCTCTACTATCGCAAATACATAAATTCGTTAAACAGGTTATATGATTCTTTATTCTGTTCCTTTTGCTTTCAAGAAGCCGTGCGGCTGTTTTTATATCTTTCGTTTTATAAATTTACGCTTAAAAAAAAACAATTTTAAGAAACGGCTGAAATACAATCTTACATCAAAGACAAAAATGTATATTTGATTATGAGTAAATGTAAAAAAAATACCTCTTTAAACCAAGGGTGGGCAAACTACGGCCCCCGAGTCACATGCGGCCCGCCAAATGTCAGTAAATTTGAAAGAGTAAGTTACCAAGCAATATCATATAATTGTTACAAGCAATTTGACGCCTAATTTTAGAAAACTGGTAAATGACTTCAGTCAGATTATTCTCAGTTAGTTATTAAGAACCTTCTATTGCTGAATTACATTGTTTTTCAAATCTACAAATCAACCATTCGCCCTTGCATGGAGTATTGCTGCCATATATGGTCTGGAGCCCCTACTGTCTGCCTCGGGGTTCTTGATAAGATCCAGACGGATATGCAATATAATTTGTCCCGATCTGGCGTCTCGTCTGCAGTCGCTCTCTCACAGACGCGCCGTCGTCTCTCTCTGTCTTTTTTTTACAAATATTTCCATGGTAATTGCTCCGAGGAGCTGCATTCGTTGGTTCCCAGACTTCGCGAATTCAAGCGTCCTACGAGGCTGGCATCCCGCTCTCATCCTTGAAACTGTTAAATGTAGCCGCCTCTTCTACTCCAATAGCTTCATATCTCGCAGCTCTCGCCTGTGGAACTCCCTTTCCTATTCCTGTTTCCCTGATAGCTATTCGCCAACTATTCAAATGTAATGTCAATCGACATCTCCAGTTGCCTTGATCTATCCACTATCCTTCTTCTCATCCTTTCCTCTATCATTCCTACCTGCTCTCGCTCCAAATCCTCTGTAACCCATTGCGTACTAGTGGCTTCCCGCCTTGCTAGGGGTGAAATGCTTAAAAAAGGAAAAAGAAAAAAAAGTAAATCTGTGTTATGTGAAGTTACTATTTTAACAATTCAATTTTTTTTTCTTTAAACGGAATTACTTTGTTTTCAAACAAATCTGCTTCATGTGAAGTTTCTACTTTAAAATCTAAATTAATTTATTTCTTTAAATTTAGTTATTTTATATGTGTTTTATTTGAAGTTTTTACTTTAAAATATGAGTAAGATTTGTTTTATATTTCTTTACGCAGAGGCAATTTGTTTTTCAAATAAATATGTTTTCTACTTTGTAATATTAATTAATAAAAACAATTTTTCTTAAAACAAATTTATTTTGTCTTTCAAATGTGTTTCATGTAAATCTTTAACTTCAAAATATTTATTAATCTTTTTTTCTTTTAAGAACTTTTAAGTTACTTTGTCTTTCAAATAAATGGGTTTCATTTGAATCATCTACAATGCTTTAAAATATTAATTGATAAAAATTAATTGCATTTTTTCTTTAAAGGCCTTTTTTGTCTATTTTAAGTACTAATTAGTTTGGGTTATTATACTCTACGGCCTTGTAAAATTGTGAATTTGTAATACCTTGATGTATCCACTATCCTTCTCCTCATCCTTTCTTCTATCACTCCTATCTGCTCTCGCTCCAAATCTGCTGCAACCCCCTGCATCCTAGTGGCTTCACCCCTTGCTCGGGGCGTAATGCTTAAAAAAAAATGGCCCTGATCTGGCATTTCGTCTACAGTCGCGCCGTCCCCTCTCTCTGTCTTTTCTACAAATACTTTCATGGTAATTGCTCCACTGAGCTGCTTTCACTGGTTCCCAGACTCCATGAATTCAAACGCCCTACGAGGCTGGCATCCCGCTCTCACCCTTACACTGTAGAAACTTTTAAATGTAGCCGTCTCTTCTACTCCAGTAGCTTCATACCTCGCACCTCTCACCTGTGGAACACCCTTCCCAATTACTGTTTCCCTGAGAGAAACTATTCAAATGTAATGTCAATCGACATCTCCAGTTACCTTGATCTATCCACTATCCCTCTCTTCATCCTTTCTTCTATCACTCCTATCTGCTCTCGCTCCAAATCCTCTGTAACCCCTAGGGGTGAAATGCTTAAAGAAAAAAAAAAGAAAAGTAAATTTGTCTCATGTGAAGTTACTACTTCAAAAATTCAATATGTTTTTTCTTTAAACGGAATTACTTTGTTTTCAAACAAATCTGCTTCATGTGAAGTTTCTACTTTAAAATCTAAATTAATCTACGACCTTATAATATTGGGAATTTTTTAATATACCCTGGTACTGAAAAGTTTGCCTATCCCTGCCCTAAACCATCCACATCGCTTGGGAGATTGGCGGGCTGATGACCCTCGTCTCCATACGAAACATGAGAGATAAAACAGAAGACTTCATTTTTCTTCTTGACCTCGATTTAGGACAATGCCACTGTTGCATTTGTGGCATGTCGGTCCCTAGATGCAAAGATCAGGGCTGATGGAACAAAGGAAGGTAGCGCACCAAAAACATGTCATGGAAATAGCGATTGTATAGCGAGAGGCTTGGAACGTTTCATATCTGGGGAAAGTGGTTGTAGGGTGGAAAATGATTCATCATCCACAATTTCGCGACGGCACTTTTGAACACTGTCAGAATAGGAAAATGAGAGCTGGGTAACTAGAGCTCAGATATGGCAATAATGCTCCTGTTTGAGTTGAGAGTATCTCAGGGGCAGACAGATACATACTAGCGAGGGTACAATGAACCGATCGTTTTTCCAAAATCTTTATCAAACGATCACGTATATGAGTTCCACTTGCGGAATAGGAAGGGCATAGCAGGCCAAGAAAGATAGCTCATCCGAACACTTGCCATGGATATAGCGAAAAAGAAGCGGAGAGACCTACTGTGCAACACCGCCTCTTTCTTTTCTTCTTCTTCTTCTTCTTCTTCTTCTTCTTCTTCTTCTTCTTCTTCTTCTTTATTTCGTCTTGTCCTCCATCAAGATCTGGTCTGATTATGGGTCTCTACAACTTCCTGATTTTTCTAGCTCTTAGGATCGTTTGTCTTTGTGCGATCTCTCCTAATCCCTGTTCTGACACCGATTTACAGAAGTTCATTCGCTGTGTTATTTACTACTTTCCTTTGTCCTGCTTCCCTTTTACATGACTTGTGAGTCTCATATTTTATAAGCCTTCTTTCTTTATTGTGCACGCTAGAAAATTCTGCTCTCACTTTCTGAGTTAAAGTATAAAAACTCCATTATGCTTACATGTTCCCTAGAACTTCCTCTTTGCTTACAATGTCAGTGCACTTTATTCTCACCATCCTTCTGTAGAACCACATTTCTGTTGACTGATGTCGCTTCTTCATCTGTGAGGAGATTATCCAGACTTCACTACCATACAGACGGATCGATATTACATAACAGTTCAGATAACTCTTTTCTTTGTTTCGAAGGATAATTTCGTGTTTCGTAGTAGTTTGCTTAGCTTCTGGAAGGCATAGTTACAAGAAATAGAACACAAAGTAAACCTTTCCAAAACAAGGACTATAATCTGGAATTGGAATGAAAGACGTGATGACAAAAAAGGTTATGATTATTCTTTCAGAAAAACCGGAGAAAAATAAATGAAATAACAGAAAGTAAATAAAATAAAATGAAATATGTATTTAAAATCAAAACAAAAGTTATTTTCAAGAGGATGATCGATAAGAACCAATCAGTCAAGAATCAATCAATCACTTATGTGCCATGCGTGGTACTCGCTTAGGCGATCATGTATCTTTCGATACATGACTGAAGAGGCAGATTGTTTCTCCGCGGTAGGTTGCCATTTCTTTCTGCGGTAGACCAGTTGCCATCCAAGGCTATAGTACCCGGTCTGTACTGCCATTATGGGGAAAAGAAGAGGAATCTTACCTTCCACGCTAGTGAATTTCACTCAGTTACTCGCTTAGGCGATCATGTATCTTTCGATACACGACTGCAGTACGTTGCCATTTCTTTCTGCAGGTAGACCATCGAAGGCTATAGAACCTGGTCTGCCCTGATACTCACCCGAAGGCGAAGGGAGAAGACGAGGATTCATACTTTTCCCAATGGTATTAGCACGTAAGGGATTTCACTGGAAATCGATCTCGGTTCTCTGATTCATCGATCCGAGCCGCTATCCATTACTCCACCGTGCCTCTAGAAATCAAGAATCGTTTAATCTTAACATCTAATAAAGAGCCCTGAACTTGTCTCTTTTGACCCCCCACTCCCAATTAAAAAACGGCGGAACGTGGGCGGGGGCCTAAGCAAGGAGGTTGATTGGTTTATTTTGTTTAGCGACATATTAACCTTTATGGGTTATTTAATGCCGAAATCTAAATATTTTGAACACAATTTTATGGCTTCAACTTACTATAAATAACTATTGTTGGTTGGTTGATTTTGTTTAGCGGCATATCAACTTCTATGGGTTATTTAATGTCGAACGCTAAATATTTTAAACATAGTTTTATGATAAGATATATTATTGGCCATTTTGCTATAAAATGTATTGTTGCTAATTCTACATTAAAATGTATTGTTGGTAATTTTACTATAAGTACGAATTGTTGACAATTTTTTTTTATATAAAACTATATTACTGGTATTTTTTACTATAAAAAAAGTATTTTTATACTTTCTTGGAGATTTGGGGTTCACTTTTTCTCATAGCTAGGGGCCTAACGGGTGCTACCACCCCAGATCAGGGTGGACCTGGGAATAACAGGAATTAAAAGGTGGCCCCACTCTCGCCAAAATCTCCAATCTCCTGATCCGAAGCCTTGCTCTTAGCAAAGGGAAAAAACTGCTAAGAGACACACGAGGTAGGAATGTCATAATCATGTGTGTCCTGAAGGGACACAGCATATAGAAATAAAGGCTTACGGCCACATTACGTCGAAATACGGGTTCCCGTACGATCATCGAAGCTAAGCAACGTCGTGCCTAGTCATTACCTCGATGGGTGACAGCTTGAGAATATCATGTGTAAACTTAAATTTGAGGGTGGTATATTGGATAATGACTCGGAATTGTTAATCGGAGATCTGTGTTACTGGGATGGGTTCGTTATATTCACTTACCCCAGCTATGGGTTAATTAGTAATACTTGCAATACTAAACCTTTATATCTCCCCTTCCTTCCCCCCGAAAATTCTTACAATTTAAAAATATTTTCTACATCTAAATAACCTGCAAAGCGATGGTAAGCCGTAAAAAGGAATCAGTTAAAAATAGAAGTGTAACAGGGGATTAATCCCCTAATTTTAAATTCTGATTTACGCCACAAACCCAAAATTTTAATATCTGATTTACTCACCACACACAAATTTTAACATCTGATTTATTCCCCACCCCACATTTTAACATTTGACATAGCACCCTCCCCAGAAATTTTAATATCAAATTTACTCCTCACCCTAAAATTCTAACATTTGATTTATTCCCCAAAGCGAAATTGTAACATTTGATATATTCCCACCCTAATTTTAATATTTGATATAGCACCCTACCCGCAAATTTTAATATCTGATTTATTCCCCACCCAAGATTTTAATATTGGATATAGCACCTTCCCCGCAAATGTTAACATCTGATTTATTTCCCACTCAAAATTTTAATATTTGATATAGCACCCTCCCCGCAAATTTTAACATCTGATTTATTCCCCACTCAAAATTTTAATATTTGATATAGCACCCTCCCCGCAAATTTTAACATATGATTTATTCCCCACCCAAGATTTTAATATTTGATATAGCACCCTCCCCGCAAATTTTTACATCTGATTTATTCCCCACTCAAAATTTTAATATTTGATATAGCACCCTCCCCGCAAATTTTAACATCTGATTTATTCCCCACTCAAAATTTTAATATATGATATAGCACCCTCCCCGCAAATTTTAACATCTGATTTATTCCCCACCCAAGATTTTAATATTTGATATAGCACCCTCCCCGCAAATTTTAACATCTGATTTATTCCCCACCCAATATTTTAATATTTGATGTAGCACCCTACCCGCAAATGTTAACGTCTGATTTATCCCCCAACCCGAAATTGTCACATCTGATTTATTCGCCACTCCACATTTTAACATCTGATTTAGGACCCTCCCCCTAAATTTTAACATCTGATTTATTCGCCACCCCGCATTTTAACATCTGATTTAGGACCCTCCCCGTAAATTTTAACATCTGATTTACTCGCCACCCCGCATTTTACCATCTGATTTAGGACCCTCCCCATAAATTTTAACATCTGATTTATTCGCCACCCCGCATTTTAACATCTGATTTAGGAACCTCCCCATAAATTTTAACATCTGATTTATTCTCCACTCAAGATTTTAATATTTAATATAGCACCCTCCCCTCAAATTTTAACATCTGATTTATTCCCTACCCAATATTTTAATATTTGATATAGCACACTCCCCACAAATGTTTACATCTGATTTATTCCCCACCCAATATTTTAATATTTGATATAGCACCCTCCCCGCAAATTTTAACATCTGATTAATTCCCCACCCAATATTTTAATATTTGATATAGCATCCTCCCCGCAAATTTTAACATCTGATTAATTCCCCACCCAAGATTTTAATATTTGATATAGCACACTCCCCACAAATGTTTACATCTGATTTATTCCCCACCCAATATTTTAATATTTGATATAGCACACTACCCGTAAATTTTAACATCTGATTTATTCCCACCCAAGATTTTCATATTTGATATAGCACCCTCCCCGCAAATTTTAACATCTGATTTATTCCCCACCTAAGATTTTAATATTTGATATAGCACACTACCCGTAAATTTTAACATCTGATTTATTCCCCACCAAATATTTTAATATTTGATATAGCACCCTCCCCGCAAATTTTAACATCTGATTAATTCCCCACCCAAGATTTTAATATTTGATATAGCACCCTCCCCGCAAATTTTTACATCTGATTTATTCCCCACCCAAGATTTTAATATTTGATGTAGCACCCTCCCCGCAAATTTTAACATCTGATTTATTCCCCACCCAAGATTTTAATATTTGATATAGCACCCTCCCCGCAAATTTTAACATCTGATTTATTCCCTACCCAATATTTTAATATTTGATATAGCACCCTCCCCGCAAATTTTAACATATGATTTATTCCCCACCCAAGATTTTAATATTTGATATAGCACCCTCTCCGCAAATTTTAACGTCTGAACCCGAAATTGTCACATCTGATTTATTCGCCACTCCACATTTTAACATCTGATTTAGGAGCCTCCCCGTAAATTTTAACATCTGATTTATTCCCTACTCAAGATTTTAACATCTGGTTTAGCACCCCGCAAGATTTTATTTTCTATCGTCCTACTTATAAATTATTGTTTAAGCTATAAATAAATAACTGAGTAGAGACTTCGATACTCACGGAAGGCTCCATATTGTAAGCCTTGTGTCACATTTAATCTTTGCTTAGTAAGCCGTTATAAATAAATTTTCAAAGGGTACAAAAAGGAATTATAATTTTGTTTGTTTGCAAATTTTTGATAACAAGCAGTATTTCATTTTGAATTTTTAAAACCCTTTTAATTTTATAATTGTGACATATTTGAGGGACTCTAATGAACTTCCCATTTTGCAATTAGTACGGCATTACGCGGCACACTGTAGTCAGCCAAATACTGGACCTTGATGCAGTGTGCAAAAAGAGCAGTAGTAGTAGTTAAGGTTGAAGTAGAAGTAGTTGCAGTTGATGCAGTTGACATTTCAGCAGTGGAAGATTACGCACATGAAAGAAAGATGCGTTCAAAGAACCCCCACCCAACCTATTCTTTTTATATTTTTAACTGTGTGACTCCGGTTTCTATGGCAACTGTCACTTGATGCACGAATTGACCGACTAGGTATCAGCGTTCTTTTCTTACTCCTCCTTCCACATAGCAATACAAACGCATCTTCTGACTGCTCTTCGGCATCATCTTCGTCTCGCATTTTCTCGTTCTCGGCGTGCGAGAAAACAGCTAAAGTTCGCATTGTTGTATCAGTACATGAATCGGGACTGAGGGATTTGGAGAAGCGGTGCGGAGATAGGGAAGGGAGGAGAGAAGATGGGTGCCGGCGGAGAGAAGCATGTGTGAAGTAGGGTTGAAAAAGCAATGAACGGAAGCTGTTTTTTTTTTTTTTTGTACCGTAGGGAGGAATGGAAAGAATTGAAATGGAAGGGACTTGCTTTTAAGATGTGAAAAGAGGGAAAAAAGGTTGAGTTATGAAGAAGTCAGGCCAAGTTCAATGGGGAGCAGCAAAAATAAAAAAAAGGGTTTACTTCTCTTTTTTTTTTTTGGTTTATTTTTTTTTCAATCTTTGTTTTTATTTTTCTCGTTTTCTTTCTCTCTTTCTAAAACATTTCTCCCTTCTTCTCACTCCTTTTCTTAGAGATTTTTCTACACTTTTCTCTCTCACTTTCCGTTACAATGTCCCTATAATGTTTTCTCTTTAGGCGATTATACCCTTGCTTATTAATCCCCCCTCTCTCTTTCCTCTATCTCTCCCTCTCTCTTATCACCACTGTCACTTTTATCCTCACACTATTCCTTCCTTTTTAGATCCCGCGTGTCAAGAAGACTGTTTTCTCCCCCTCTGTCTCATCTCTCCCCCTCCCATTTAATAATTTATCCTCTGTCTCATGTTGACTATAAAGGTTCATCATTTTATCTTTCCTTCTCATTCTTTGGTAATTTTTCTTCATCTTTCTCGCAATTTCACTTTGCCTGACTCTTCATACTTCCGCTTTCTTCCGTTTTTTGCTCGAAGTTCCATCTTGCACATTTACAAATCTACCCTTCGTCCGTGCATTGAATACTGTTGCCATATTTCGTCTACTGTTTCTGCTATTCATCTTGAGCTTCCATCTTGCAAATTTTCAAATCTACCCTTCGTCCGTGCATTGAATACTGTTGCCAAATTTGGTCTGGTGTTGCTTCTATTCATCTGGAGGTACCATCTTGCAAATTTACAAATCTACCATTCGCCCGTACATGGAAAACTGTTGCCATATCCGATTTTGTGTCCTTGCTATTTATCTTGAGCTTCCATCTTGCACATTTACAAATCTTACTTTTTTTCTTTTTTATCTTTTTGCCCCTTCATTTATTCCTCTCTTTCTCTATTTCTCTCCTCATCTTTTCCTTTTTTTCTGTTTCTCTTTACTTTACCCCTATTAATTTATCCTATCTTTCTCTTTTCGTCGTTTTCTCTTATTGTTTTTTTTTTGTTTTGTTTTGTTTTTTCTTTGTTTTTTTACAATGGTGGCTTATCAAAAATATAAATGCATTACAAACGTTATCTTCCGGGCATGGGATCAACAAGAAACCTTTAAACGAAATGGAAAGAAAAAGAAGAGAATCCATAGTTTTTAAAATAATGCAGAAAGAGTACTTGGGGAATTTGACACTCACAAGACTTGTGAAACAAGGGTGGCACACTGAAAGTATAAATGACCTATTAACGGATCTTGCTGGAAGTGGGTGGATAATAAATAGATAAATATCTTTTTTTACAGGGTGTTAAATCTGTACAAAACACTGGAGCCACTCGAGGTAGATGGTTATAGATTAAGAGATACAGCCTTTGCGTATTTGTGCGTGAGATAATGCTTAACCTTGATATGAACATGTTAAAATTGTAGTAATCGGAGAAGCTGCCTCTTGAGAGTTGATTCCATCAGGCAGCGGTTTGTGCGAAGAATCTGCTCTAGTGGAATATAAAAACGGAATATGTTTTTTTTTATTGGAATATGAATCTTTAGTGATGTATGCTGCTATAATGGTTAAATCCAACATTACAACTGAAGTTATTCAATAAATGGATGCAAAATTGCGTGCAATTAAAAAAAATAAATAATAATTTTTTATGACAATTAAAAAATAATGTTTGTGTTTCCGGAGAGGGAGAGTATCTCAAATGGATGTACAGTGGCATTC